AGGAGTGATTACTGGGGTAGCAGTAAATGTAAAAGTTGACCAACTGAAGGGGAAGATTCCCAGTGTTTGTGATGCTCGACGTTTGGTGAGACGTAAACAGGGTGGCGAGAGTGGGGAAACAGAAGAGTCATTGTCTGTTCTTTTGAGTTTTGAAGTTGAGTCTTTGCCTGACAAAGTGATGTTAGGATATATGTTATCCTGTACGAGCTTATGTGCCGAATACATTACGATGTTACAGGTGTCAAACTTATGGGCATGTGGCAGCAGTGTGTAGGAGGGAGGTTCCAAGGTGTGAGAAGTGTGCAGAAGGGCATGAGACAAAGGAATGTGTAGCATTGGGGAAAGTAGTGGTTTGTGATTATGTACCTGGCGCCGACGAGGTTATATAATAGCTCAGAAAGTGTTTTGTATCATTACATACAGCCGGGAAAAACTATTGGATATCAGAGCGGCGGTAACTCACCAGCATTACAACCAGGAATACGACTTTCCCGAAGCAGATCCTTTGTTTGCTCTCCCCAGGGCAATTGATTCCAGCGGCTGACCCAACACATCGCCGGCAGAGGAGAGGCACTCGGAGCGGCCTGCTGGTTCAACTTAGGAGGCGCGCACACCACCCACTGCTTCCAAGTATACTACTCGCTAACGTTCAGTCTCTGGTTAACAAGCTCGATGAGCTCTGGGCAAGGATTTATTTACAGAGAGACATTTTACGTTTACATTTTACATTTGAGTCATTTAGCAGATGTTCTTATCCAGAGTGACTAACAGTTAGTGAGTCAAGGCCTGTAACATACTTTGTTTCATGGAAACATGGCTCTCTGGGGATATTCTGTCGAAATCGGTCCAGCCAGATGGGTTCTCAGTTCATCGCACAGACAGGAATAAATATCTCTCCGGGAGGCAGAAGTGCGGAGGTGTGTGTTTCATGATTAACGACTCATGGTGTAATTGTAGTAACATACAGGAACTCAAGTCATTCTGTTCACCCGACCTAGAATACCTCACAATCAAATGCCGACCGTATTATCTCCCAAGATAATTTTCTTCGGTTATAGTCACCGCTGTGTATACCCCCCCCCCCCCCTCAAGCCGATACCAAGACGGCCTTCAAAGAACTTCACTGGACTTTATGCAAACTGGAAACCACATATCCTGAGGCTGCATTTATTGTAGCCGGGATTTTAACAAAGCAAATTTGAGGACTAGGCTGCCGAAGTTCTATCAACATATCGACTGTTGTACTCGCGCGGCTAAAATCCTCAACCATTGCTATTCGAACTTCCAGGATGGTTATAAGGCCCTCCCCCGCCTTCCTTTCGGCAAATCTGACCATGACTTCATTTTGCTCCTCCCTTCCTATAGGCAGAAACTCCAACAGGAAGTACCCGTGCTAAGGACTATTCAACGCTGGTCTGACCAATCGGAATCCATACTTCATGATTGTTTTGATCACACGGACTGGGATATGTTCCGGGTAGCTTGCGAAAATAATTTTGATGAATACACTGAAACGGTAACTGTGTTTATCAGGAAGTGTATAGGTGATGTTGTGCCAACTGTGACTATTAAAACCTACCCTAATCAGAAACCGTGGATAGATGGCAGCATTCGCGCAAAACTGAAAGCGCGAACCACTGCATTTAACCATGGCAAGGTGACTAGGAATATGTCCGAATACAAACAGTCTAGCTACTCACCCACGTAAGGCAATTAAACTGGCAAAACATCAGTATAGAGACAAAGTGGAGTCGCAATTCAATGGCTCAGACACGAGACGTATGTGGCAGGGTCTACAGACAATCACGGACTGCAAAAGGAAAACCAGCCACGACGACGTCTCGTTTCCAAACAAGCTAAACACCTTCTTCACCCGCTTTGAGGATGACGCAGTGCATCCGACGAGGCCCACTACCAAGGACTGTGGCCTCTCCTTCTCCGTGGCCGACGTGAGTAAGACATTTAAGCATGTTAACCCCGCAAGGCTGCCGGCCCAGACGGCATCCCTAGCCGCGTCCTCAGAGCATGCGCAGACCAGCTGGCTGGTGTGTTTACGGACATATTCAATCTCTCCCTTTCCCAGTCTGCTGTTCCCACATGCTTCAAGATGGCCACCATTGTTCCTGTACCCAAGAAAGCAAAGGTAACTGAACTAAATGACTATCGCCCCGTAGCACTCACCTCTGTCATCATGAAGTGCTTTGAGAGACTAGTCAAGGATCATATCACCTCTACCTTACCTGTCACCCTAGACCCACTTCAATTTGCTTACTGCCCCAATAGATCCACAGACGATGCAATCGCCATCACACTGCACACTGCCCTATCCCATCTGGACAAGAGGAATACCTACAGTGAGGGAAAAAAGTATTTGATCCCCTGCTGATTTTGTATGTTTGCCCACTGACAAAGACATGATCAGTCTATAATTTTAATGGTAGGTTTATTTGAACAGTGAGAGACAGAATAACAACAAAACAATCCAGAGAAACGCATGTAAAAAATGTTATAAATTGATTTGCATTTTAATGAGGGAAATAAGTATTTGACCCCTCTGCAAAACATGACTTAGTACTTGGTGGCAAAACCCTTGTTGGCAATCACAGAGGTCAGACGTTTCTTGAAGTTGGCCACCAGGTTTGCACACATCTCAGGAGGGATTTTGTTCCACTCCTCTTTGCAGATCTTCTCCAAGTCATTAAGGTTTCGAGGCTGACGTTTAGCAACTCGAACCTTCAGCTCCCTCCACAGATTTTCTATGGGATTAAGGTCTGGAGACTGGCTAGGCCACTCCAGGACCTTAATGTGCTTCTTCTTGAGCCACTCCTTTGTTGCCTTCGTCGTGTGTTTTGGGTCATTTTCATGCTGGAATACCCATCCACGACCCATTTTCAATGCCCTGGCTGAGGGAAGGAGGTTCTCACCCAAGATTTGACGGTACATGGCCCCGTCCATCGTCCCTTTGATGCGGTGAAGTTGTCCTGTCCCCTTAGCAGAAAAATACCCCCAAAGCATAATGTTTCCACCTCCATGTTTTAATGGTGGGGATGGTGTTCTTGGGGTCATAGGCAGCATTCCTCCTCCTCCAAACACGGCGAGTTGAGTTGATGCCAAAGAGCTTGATTTTGGTCTCATCTGACCACAACACTTTCACCCAGTTCTCCTCTGAATCATTCAGTTGTTCATTGACAAACTTCAGACGGCCCTGTATATGTGCTTTCATGAGCATGGGGACCTTGCGGGCGCTGCAGGATTTCAGTCCTTCCCGGCGTAGTGTGTTACCAATTGTTTTCTTGGTGACTATGATCCCAGCTGCCTGAGATCATTGACAAGATCCTCCCATGTAGTTCTGGGCTGATTCCTCACCGTTCTTATGATCATTGCAACTCCACGAGGTGAGATCTTGCATGGAGCATCCCGGAATCGCCTCTTCACTGTTGACGTTGAGACTGGTGTTTTACATTTACATTTACATCATTTAGCAGACACTCTTATCCAGAGCGACTTACAAATTGGTGCATTCAACTTACGATAGCAAGTGGGACAACCACTTTTTTTTTCTTTTTTTTTATGTGGGGGGGTAGAAGGATTACTTTATACTATTCCAGGTATTCCTTAAAGAGGTAGGGTTTCAAGTGTCTCCGGAAGGTGGTCAGTGACTAATGATACTTTTGTGGGTACTATTTAATGAAGCTGCCAGTTGAGGACCTGTAAGGCATCTGTTTCTCAAACTAGACACTCTAATGTATTTGTCCTCTTGCTCAGTTGTGCACCGGGGCCTCCCACTCCTCTTTCTATTCTGGTTAGAGCCAGTTTTCGCTGTTCTGTGAAGGGAGTAGTACACAGTGTTGTACGAGATCTTCAGTTTCTTGGCAATTTCTCGCATGGAATAGCCTTAATTTCTCAGAACAAGAATAGACTGACGAGTTTCAGTAGAAAGTTATTTGTTTCTGGCCATTTAGAGCCTGTAATCGAACCCACAATTGCTGAAGCTCCAGATACTCAGCTAGTCTCAAGAAGGCCAGTTTGATTGTTTCTTTAATCAGCACAACAGTTTTCAGCTGTGCTAACATAATTGCAAAAGGGTTTTCTAATGATTAATTAGCCTTTTAAAATGATACACTTGGATTAGCAAACACAACGTGCCATTGGAACACAGGACTGATGGTTGCTGATAATGGGCCTCTGTACGCCTATGTAGATATTCCATAAAAAAATCAGACGTTTCCAGCAACAATAGCCATTTACAACATTAACAATGTCTACACTGTATTTCTGATACATTTGATGTTATTTTAAAGGACAAAAAAATTGCTTTTCTTTCGAAAACAAGGAAATGTCTAAGTGACCCCAAACTTTTGAACAGTAGTGTATATATTCTTAAATTCCATTCCTTACTAGATTTGTGTGTATTGGGTATATGTTGTGAAATTGTTAGATATTACTTGTTAGATATTACTGCACTGTCGGAAGCACTTCACTACACCCGCAGTAACATCTGCTAAGCACGTGTATGTGACAAATAAAATGTGATTTGATGTGCTAATTGTAGGGGTGCCCGTGGGGCTGGGGATCAGAAATGTCCCGTGCGAGAGAGGCAGGTTGAAGTTTCCAGGGTAAGAGTAGTGCAGAAGTTGTCATATGCTGAGGCAGTGAAGAAAGTAGAGGAAGATGGGTCAAGGGGGAGGAGTGGTGAGAGTAGTAGATCTTTACCAGTACATAGGGATAGGCCAAGAAGTGATATATGTTTCAGTAAGATTGGGTTTTTAGCGTTTATAGCAATGGTTATTAATTGTACTGCAGGGATGGAACGTAAGTCGAATAAAATTGAGGTTGTGGTGGCAGCTGCAGAGATGTATTTGGGTATGCGAGACTTGACATCAGAAGAGTTACAGGGTGTGTTAAGTGGTGATGTCCCATCCTTTCAGGTTGAGGGCATGAGGTAGGAATGAATAGATTTAAATAGTGGTTTTAATTGTATTATATATTTTGTTATTTTTTTTGAAGTTGTGAGTGGAGTGTTAGATGGTAGGGTATTTCTTTATTTTTTTCAAGCAAAATATAAGGGAGTTGTACTCCAGTGTAGTAGGTGGCGGTAATGCAACATATTGGATGCCAACCGCTGTTAAACCTCATCGAAGAAGAAGAAGCGCATACAACATCTTGTAGCGCCAGCTGACGACCACTGACAAAAGGAGCGCGGGAAAGTTGGAAATGGCGGAGTGCAGAATCAGTCAGGGTAAGGGGCAAAATAATAAGACAATTATTAATTGTTTACGAATATACATTCCAGTAAATGTAAATAGTAGTTTGACATATTCGTCTAAATTGTTTCCTATCCATTAACGCCAATAGTATGTGTTTCGCACTGAAATGCATTCCTGGACGTGTCCGTAGTCATCGTAAAAGACTATATAGCCAGCTAACGTTAGCTAACTAGCTACTCCAAAGATATTGATCATTCATCTGACTATACTAGCTAGCCTAGTTGTTTCCTAGGTCGGCAAGCTGTCTAGAAGTGGCTTGCGTGATTAACTAGTAGATTGTAACGGCCTAATGTGATGCTCCATTAGCCGAGACATGAAAGGTAGCAAGTGTTTAGCGTAACGCAGAGAATGTTCAATACTTCCTCAATTCCCCGCATGGAAACAACCAATGTCTTTAAACGTCAATGTCTAGTTGCAGGGGATTCGTTTGAATGTAGAAAATGCTCCGTAATTAAATGTTTTTTTCCCACTCCATTAAGTAACTTAATCTAAACCCTAGGCAGATTTCCATTAACCCAGGTTTATTCGACGAAAGAAACTAAAGATCGACAACATTTGTATCTGTTCGACAGAGGTTGAACATTATTTATTGTGACAAATGATGATGGAAACGGTGTTTTTCGAATAAATGATGATTGCCGAATCATTTTGAAGTTACGCGGGACACGTGATGTCACCTCTTAACTATAAAAATGCCTATGTCTTGCTAAATCCATTTTTATAAAAGTGTTCCTTTGCAGGACAAAGATTGTTCTGACTTTCAAGAATGCCTGAATTGCTTAGCCTTGCTTTTCTGGTTGGCTGGCAAGTTTCACCATCAAATTATTTCAGATCTACAGTTGTGCAAGTTTCACCGTGGTGATATGTTAGCACATGAGAATTATTTAAGTAATAAAGCCCAAGGGGGTGTGGTATATGGCAAATATACCATGGCTAAGGGCTGTTCTTATGCACGATGCAACTCCTAGTGCTAGGACACAACCCTTAGCTGTGGTATATTGGCCATATATCACAAACCCTGAGGTGCCTTATTGCTATTATAAACTGGTTACCAACGTAATTAGAGCAGTAAAAATAAAGTTTTGTTGTACCCGTGGTATACGGTCTGATATACCACGGCTGTCAGCCAATCAGCGTTCAGGGTTCGAATCACCCAGTTTAAAATATAATTTATACAACTGGTGGGTCTAATCCTGAATGCTGATTGGTTAAAAGCGCATTCCAGCCGGTGTCTATTCCACAAGTTACTCCCGGCTAAATCTATGATGTTAAAATGCCTATTTACTCTGTTCCATCTGACTGCGCAATCCACTGTCTCATCAGCCCAGACAGGCAATTTATTAACTTGATCTCCACATTAAAAAGCATCTAGACATTATCTCACATTTCTTTTAGACTAAAATTTTGTTTAACAGTGGAGATTTGTAGAAACCTTGCTGTCTGTCTCTGACATTTGCAACATTGTTTCAATATTCAAATTCGATCTCCAGCTGTCTGATAGTAATGAACGTGTTGGAAGTCAGGATGAGACAGGCAGGCAACTTTTCTCAGCCAGTCGAAATCATGAATCAGCGTCATTTTTTTATGGATATATACAAAACTATCAATAGAAAACAGGTCAAACTAAACGAAGTGCAGCTAGTTTTCTGTCTTTTCAGTTTGAAGTGATTGTTAGTTGTTGTTGGCTAGCTCCTCTGAACAACAGTGTCCTGACGAGAGAGCACATTTTCTATGCCAGGCGAAATCGTGCAACATTAGCTCATTGTTATGATGTATCCAAATAAATGTCACTAGAAAACAGCATAAACAAATGCAGCTACTTTGCTGTTATTCTGGCTTTTTGACGTGACTGTAAGTTAGCCGTAGTTGGCTACCTAGCAAGCAAGGGATAAGAACGTTGCCAGCCAGTATGGCAATGGAACATTTAGAATGAATGACTGGGTCGTGTCCATAGATACAGATCAAAAAGACTGAACGACTGGGTCGCATTTCTGACAACCGAACCGATAGAACGAACGACCAGCTGGCTTGGGTAGCAACCCTAGATTTGTGTCGGGACTATATCTTGTGGAATTATGAAATAGTATGAATAAATTAATCAAAATAACATTTTTAATGAAAATATGTAAATCATTATTTGAATATGTTGGTAACCCGTTGTATAAAAGTGATAATGCCCTCGAAGCCGGTGTTTGGAGGATATATTGGCACGGTTGGCCGGCCCTCGACTTCTTCTCGGGCCTAACAGCATCTGTGCAAATATATCCTCCAAACACCAGCTTCTCGGGCATTATCACTTAAATTGCAAATATTAGTCAATTATTGCATTCTATCCCTGCTGGCATTCGTGGGCTACCTGAGACATGAAACAGATAGGTGTGAGGGCGTACAGGCTGTCACCAATTTATTCATGTCAATTTGCCTAAATGGGTAATGGAAACACTTCAACCACTACATTTTTATTCTACACTATGTTTTTGTGAAAAAGTGTACATATTTAGGTGTGATGTCATTACGTCCAACTGTTTAGATCAACACAAGATAGTTAAACGGAAATGCACCCTAGCAGGCAATTGTCACATCTATTTTCTAACTTTCAACAAAAAATCACTGGACAAGTTAATGGAAATATGGCTACTGTGTACCATCTTGTCTATTTCCAATATTCTCTCATTGATTGAGACAGGTGAGTGTCATCATGACATGCAACACTTTGGGGTGGACACTCACGGGTCTCAATCAATGAGAGAAGATTTGAAATAGACAATATGTCGGCGTTCACATTGTTGGATTACTTCATGAAGCAAAACATTTATATAATTTAATAAGATTATTTTCTAAATTCAAGCAAACACCCTGCAACTAGACATGGACGTTTAGAAGACAATGGTTGTCTTCCAATTAGGGTTTGAGGAAGTATCAACAAGTTCTCTGTGCTACGCCAAACAGTATCTTTCTACACTGAACAAAAATATAAACACAACCACTTAAAAAGATTTTACGGAGTTACAGTTCATATAAGGAAATCAGTCAATTGAAATAAATTCATTAGGCTCTAATCGATGGATTTCACATGACTGGGAATACAGATATGCATCTGTTGGTCACAGATACTGTCTATAGCTTATGCCTGCCCATACCATAACCCCAACGCCACTATGGGGCACTCTGTTCACAACGTATGCCATCTGCCCGGTACAGCTGAAACCGGGATTCATCTGCGAAGAGCACACTTCTCCAGTGTGCCAGTGGCCATCGAAGGTGAGCATTTGCCCGCTGAAGTTGGTTATGACGCCGAACTGCAGCCAGGTCAAGACCCTGGTGAGGACGACGAGCACGCAGATGAGCGTCCCTGAGATGGTTTCTGACAGTTTGTGCAGAAACTCTTTGGTTGTGCAAACCCACAGTTTCATCCGCTCTCCGGCTGGCTGGTCTCAGACCATCCCGCAGGTGAAGAAGCCGGATGTAGAGGTCCTGGGCTGGCATGGTTATACGTGGTCTGCGGTTGTGAGCCCGGTTGGACATTCTGCCAAATTCTCTAAAACAACCTTGGAGGCGGTTTATGGTAGAGAAATTAACATTACATTCTCTGGCAACAGCTCTGGTGGACATTCCTGCAGTCAGCATGCCAATTGCACACTCCCTCAACTTGAGACATGTGTGGCATTGTTACAACTGCACATTTTAGTGGCCTGTTATTGTCCCCAGCACAAGATGCACCTGTGTAATGATCATGCTGTTTAATCAGCTTTTTGATATGCCACACCTGTCAGGTGGATGGATTATTTTAGCAAAGGAGAAATGCTCACTAACAGGGATGTAAACAAATATAGGAATGTTTGGTCAGTTGATAGTTGTTTTATTGCCATAAACCTGAGGTTAACTATAAAAAGTGATTATTGTTGTTATCGAACCAGATCATAACTTCTGAGAACACTTTTCTATTTATCAGCAACACATTTTACAACCAGTGGAAAGGAGAGAATGAGCCAGTTGTAAATGTTTTGACTGATAGATTTTTTTTAAAATTGTACAGGTAGACAACACTAATGTGCCAAGAGGAACAATGTGTGTTCCTCTTGGCACATTAGAGCCAAGAGGAACACACATTGTACAGAACTTGGGCCCTATTTCCAATGTGGTCCTTGAAGGAATAGACAGACAGCAGGATTAACTAATAAATACAGAGCTCTGCATCCAGGGTTTGTACTGTCATGGAATTTTTTAATGGTGTTTTCCAGGCCTGGAGAAGTTTGGGGAAATGATAAAAACCAAAAAGTAAAGGAAATTAATTTAATAATTTCTGTTACTTTAGTTTATTTAGGCACATTTGTAAAATATTTGATCAATCAAATAAAAAATCTACGTATCAGCCAGGATCAGCATGACCCTTTTGCGCGTCTGTTTGTGTGCATCACTTGCATGTGTGCGACACGAGTGGGCGGTTGCTCAAGGAGAGGGAGACAGTCGGACATTGCAGCAGCAGGTATGCCTATAAAATATGATAGAGAACAGACTAACTAGGTAGCCAATTCAAAAACATATTGTGTACCCTCTAGTTAGCCATTTAGCAATTATTCATGTGTATTGTTTTCGTAAAAAAATAAAACGTTTCACCGACACTCGCAAATAAGGCAATACAAAGTTCATTTGCCTTTTTTGAACGATTTGCTTTTTTCATGAGTTATTTAAACGATTATTTTTGACGAAACGAACGATTCACAACGCCATTGTATTAGTTGGGATTCGGTTCAATCGTGGTGAATCGAATCATGTGAATGAAAATAATAATTTGTGAATCACGAACAGTTAATATAGAAGAAAATATTTGATGTAGACTTTCTTTTGGATTATGTGGCTTCTTGTTTTGTAGATACTAGCAGTTGATTTGGGCATCAAATGTATGGGACATTGCAACTCAATAGATGCTAGCCAGCCTGCAAAGTAAACACTTCTAAGGTAAATTTGACTAAACTCGAAAAGGTACATTTCCTGAAAGAAATGTGTGGGCTTGCTTCAGCTAAATATAACGATTTGTAGCTTACCATAGCCATTTGATCTTTGATATATTGAATGAGCTAATTATTTCAAAAGGCATAAAACATATTTTGTTGCAATCAAGGGTGGTCAACCATCCTCCAGGAGAGCTAATGGGTGTGCAGGCTTTTATTCTAGTCCCTTTCTAACAAACCACATTTGAGAAATGAGCTGCTCAACCGTACCTAGATAATCTGTCTCCGATGTGTTTGAGCAGGGCTTGATCAAGAGCCTGCACACCCAGTAGCTCTCCAGACTGAGGATTGACCAGATGTGTTTTATACAGTTGCGTAACAGGTATTCTACTTGGGGGGTGGGGGGTTAAGTGCCTTGCATAACGACAGGAGATGTTACATGGGATCAGAGAGCAGCCTCCCAGTGTCGATACCACATTACGCATACTTATTATGTACGTATAAAAAGTAGGCGCCAATTGTTGGTAATGGAAATTTGGTTAAAAGTCATGGAAAAGTAATGAAATTCTGTCAAAATATGTATGAACCCTGTGCATCCCAATGTAAACCCAATATTCTGCCTTCCTTTTTTCTAGAGGAGGCAATGTCTCCCTCCTCCCTCAAGCTGTACGAGGCACAGTTCTTTGGTTTCACCCCTCAGACCTGCATGGTGAGGGTATACAGTGCCTTTCAGGACTGCCTGAATGAATTGCTGCTCGTTGTAGAAGCGGTGTTCGTGAGAAAACTAAGCGGGACTGAACCAAATGGAGAGCAACTACGTTCAAGGGCAAGAGAATGCACCCAAAAGTTGCAGATATTCCTTCAGGAACGCTTCAATCGTCTGTCTGGTTGCATGGAAACTGTTTTGGTCAACAACGTCCTCTCAGTCCCTCCGAATGTGTTGCTGCCTGACGACCAGCCACACAAAAAGTACCCTCAACGTTTAGAGGAGGTTCTTAAGCTGGAGTCTTCCCTGGCGGAGCTGCAACAGGCGTACCAGGCGGAGGTGTGTGCCAGGCAGGCCTTGCTGGCTGAACTGGAGGAGCAAAGAGAGGTCCAAGAGCAGCTGGATGGGATCCTGAGATGGATTGGAGAACTACAGGCAGCATGGATGCAGGAGGGAATGGGCAGCTTTCACAACAGCTTCCATGTGATGATGCAGTCGGTCAAGAAACTGCAAGCTGTCATTGGAGAGATCAATAAGAAAAGCAAAGGACTGGATGAGGACTCATCAGTGGGATGGACCCACATGGCGTAAAATACTTGTTAGTGGTGTTGTGAGATGGGTAGATCGCAGGTGTGACAACATTCTGACTTGGAATGGCCCCCCCTGTCGGACATAAGACACAAATAGAATTCCATGCCTTTGGATGTATGAACAATTATACAATTTGTCAGACCCACGTCTTACATACAAGAATGTGAGCACGTTTCAAACCATTGGTTTGATTTATTTTCTTTTTGATGGTTTTCTATACATTGTAAATATATTATCCACAATTTGAGTAGTAAAAGGCTCAAACTGTTGGTATTTTATTTTTAATTTCCCAGTCTTAACTCTGGATCTTTGAAAAGCATTTAATTTTATTATAAAAAAAAAAAGGGTGTTAATGAGTGAATTAACTTTGGAGCCATAGTCACCACAAGGGGGAGGCATTGGTTTGTTATTGCCATCTCAAACGTCAATTGACCAAGTAGTGCCTTTGTACAGTGTGAATTATTTTGATTCTTTGCCGTAATATATTTTAGGCAAAATCATTATAAACGTACAACACTTTCATCATTTTGAATGAATAAAAGTGTAATTGTGCAATCGCATCTGATTTAATTCAGGTATCATTCCAATCCTTTCCCATCTTGGTCTCTCTGTCAGATGCAGTCTAGGCTTGTCTGTGATGTCTAATGCTGTATGATGTTGACTGACTGATAAGCAGCTCGTTTGACAGTAGGCTGCTCTGACAGTATGGTCTCGGTGGGAGACCCTGCAGTGATCAGACAGTTGTGTGATGTCCATGGCTGGAACCCCAGGCTCCATATTCACAAGGGTCCTTCCTGTTAATGGATACTGGGAATGTATTTATAGCCTATGTTTAAAAAAAATACAATAACAACTTTTTAAATGTTGGCCTACATTTTACCAGCAGAGTACATTCAAATAGGTGTACAGATTTCTCCCAAACAAGGCAATATGCACTTGACATCCCAAAACATTTATTTCTGCTCACAAATTATTATTTTCTTCTGACAGTATGTCCAGATGCACATTTACATGCATGCACCCAACCCAATTCTAAATTGATTGTATAATTATTTGAATCAATTGTTAGCCTGTTGTGGTGGATCCAGTCAGGGAACATCAAAGTAGCATAACATGTCTGTGAAGTCAGGTTCAAACCTTTTCATGCTCATAATTAAACATGAGACGTATGTCGGGTTTCTTTTCATTTCTGAAGCCTGGGGATACGATTCCATATCTTAGTCTACTCAGCATATAATTTTGGTGGTTTATTATGTTCCACAGCCACCTCCAATTCCAAGACCTGTAAAGACACAAAATATTTATCCAATGCAATAGATGTATGCACAATAGAAACCATAGATCACAAAGAATTGGTACCATCTGAAAAATGTATTCAAGTTTTGCATAATTTCCATAGCACTACTGTGAATGTTATGGTACATAGAGTATACTGTACAGTAGTTATGCTCCCCCAAAAAGTGACATGTCTTGGATGTAGTGCTGCTGGAGGGCTAGCACTGAGCCTGAGCAGAAGAAAAAGGATGAGAGCAATGAGGGGTCTGAAGGGGGACTGGGTTAGCAGCCCCATCCACTCTCTCTTTCATCTCTCTCTCACGTTAAAGCCAAAGCGGGGTGGGGGGGGCACCCAAACGAGCTCAAGGTCGCACGGATAGAGCCTCATCAGTAGGGTGGAATGGGAAGACTGGACAGGCTGCCTACTGTAAGCCCACCTTTCTCTCTTGTTCCTTCTTCCTCTCTCTTCAATCCCCTTCTTTCCCATTCCCTCTTCGCATCTCCCCAATCCCCGTCTCTCCCTACCCTGCCACTGTTGGATTACACTGGGGCTCAAGTCCACTGATAAATAACTTTCCACATTCTCACTCAGCCAGGACACGTTGCTGACAGGGCTGCAGAGTAGCAGCTATCCCTGAGTGGGCCTGAAATAGTGTTTCTGTCATATAGGGAGCCAGTGAGGGAGGCAGGAGGGCAATGTTAATGAAGTTCAATCTGGGATGGGGTGATTAAGAAGGGTGGAGGGAGAAGAGAGACCCCAATAGTTTAGTGATAGAGTAAGAGCTCTTTCTCAATGCAATTGGGGATACGGGGAGAATGCTGATGTGAGTATGTGCAGGTTTGCTCGGTGCCCTTATTACTCTTGACCTGTGCACAGGTCAATGAAAAGAGTGACTCTTCAGGGGTGACATTTTAACATCCCAATCTATAGTGCCACTATGATTGGTCTTGAATGTCATGGTATGCAAGAAGGGTAGTATGATCAATACTTTGGGTCTAGTGAGAGGTTTCTCTAAGGTTGGGTGGGTCTTATGCTGATGTAGCTACATAAATGAAAGCTTTATTTGCAGTTAAATTGCATAATATTGTGAATACTGACATAGTGAAGGAACTAGAAAATGTGATTCAGAGATCAAAAGAAGGGGAAGAATTTGACTTCATTCAAGAGCAGTAGTGTAAAGTACTACTTAAGTAGTGTTTAGGGGGTATCTGCTACATTCCTAAAGAGAATTATGTACTTTTTACTCCATACATTTGCCGTGACACCAAAAAGTACTCACTACATTTTGAATGCTTAGCAGGACAGGAAAATGATCCAATTCACACACTTATCAAGAGAACATCCCTGGACATCCCTACTGCCTTTGATCTGGCGGCTCACTAAGCACATGCTTCGTTTGTAAATTATGTCTGAGTGTTGGAGTGTCGGAGTGTTGGAGTGTGCCCCTGGCTATCTGTACATAAAAATAAATAACCTTGTGCCATCTGGTTTGCTTAATGTAAGGAATTAGAAATGATTTTTACTTTTGATACTTAAGTATATTTTAAAACCAAATACTTTTAGACTTTTACTCAAGTAGTATTTTACTGGGTGACTTTTACTTGAGTCATTTTCTATCAAGGTATCTTTACTTTAACTGAAGTATGAAAATTGGGTACTTTTTCCACCACTGTTTAAGAGCATGTTGAACAATTTACAATTGTGAATATGCAAACATTGTATAACATTTTTATACTTTTACTTTTGATACTTAAGTATATTTTAAAACCAAATCCTTTTAGACTTTTACTCAAGTAGTATTTTACTGGGTGACTTTTACTTGAGTCATTTTCTATCAAGGTATCTTTACTTTAACTGAAGTATGAAAATTGGGTACTTTGTCCACCACTGTTCAAGAGCATGTTGAACAATTTACAATTGTGAATATGCAAACATTGTATAACATTTTTATACTTTTACTTTTGATACTTAAGTATATTTTAAAACCAAATACTTTTAGACTTTTACTCAAGTAGTATTTTACTGGGTGACTTTTACTTGAGTCATTTTCTATCAAGGTATCTTTACTTTAACTGAAGTATGAAAATTGGGTACTTTGTCCACCACTGTTCAAGAGCATGTTGAACAATTTACAATTGTGAATATGCAAACATTGTATAAAAATTTTTTCAGGTGGTTCCAAATCTTTCTGATTTCTTGTCTGTTTCCATTGTGCTTCCATCTATTGGTAAGTCCTTTAGAAAATGAGGTGTTGAGATAAGTGTAGGAGTAATGGTCGATAGGAGGGGTCACCACACGTGGACGATCAATAGGGCTTGTGGAAAGTGCTCCTTGGGCTAAACCTACATGGACAGATTATGCAGCCAATCAATGGAAAGTAGCTGATCAATTATGCGTACACAAATTGCTGGTTAAACAAAACTGGCTAAACTGTGACCCTTTGGTCATATGTCCTTACATGCAGTTGTCAATAAGATTTAGGTTTTCATTGAGTGTTGCTACTTTTAGCTAGTTATTTCCACATTGAGAAACGTACACAATTTGGGCCCACTCAGGTTTACATAGTGGCCCAGTTGAATTATAGAGACATAAGACTCATATGTACATTTATATAAAAAATTTCTGTCCAATTCTTATATGAACATAAAAGGCACATTAAAAAGAAGAACTCTGAGGGTACAGTATGTTTCAGTACGCTTGTGGCCGGCAGAACATGGATTAAAAAGAGAATTCATCTTTATTCAGCATGGCACTTGAGGAATAACCCTGGCAGGAGTTCCCCACACTCAAGCAATGATTACACATATTCAGGGTTTCTGTGGTTTCGACTACACGCATGTTACTATAGCAACCAGAAAATGCAGGCAGCAGAAACTATGCTTGTTGTTCACCTTAGGTGCTTTAAGTTTCTTCCAGACACTCAAACAGCATTCTGAAGTAGCCAAGCGTAGCCTTCTTTCACCAGCTATGTTGAAACAAACATTTCTTAACTGAAATGAATAAAAGTCTAACCACATACACTATATATACAAAAGTATGTGGACACCCCTTCAAATTAGTGGTTTTGTCTATTTCAGCCACACCCGATGCTGACAGGTGTATAAAATTGAGCACAGTGAAGAGCTCAGTGACTTTCAACGTGGCAGTGTCATAGGATGCCTCCTTTCCAACAAGTCAGTTTGTCAAACTTCTGCCCAGTTAGAGCTGCCCCGGTCAACTGTAAGTGCTGTTGTGAAGTGGAAACGTCTAGGAGCAACAACAGCTCAGTTGTCCTTGGTTGCAACACTCACTACCAAGTTCCAAACTGCTTCTGGAAGCAACGCCAGCACAATAACTTTCCGTCGGGAGCTTCATGAAATGGGTTTCCGTGGCCGAGCAGCCGCACACAAACCTAAGATCACCATGCGCAATGCCAAGCGTCGGCTGGAGTGGCGTAAAGCTCGCCGCCATTAGACTCTGGAGCAGTGGAAACGCGTTCTCTGGAGTGATTAATCACGCTTCACCATCTGGCAGTCCGACGGACAAATCTGGGTTTGGCAGATGCCAGGAGAACGCTACCTGCCCCAATGCATAGTGCCAACTGTAAAGTTTGGTTGAGGAGGAATAATGGTCTGGGGCTGTTGGTTCGGGCTAGGCCCCTTAGTTCCAGTGAAGGGAAATCTTAACACTACAGCATATAATGACATTCTAGACGATTCTGTGCTTCCAACTTTGTGGCAACAGT